TCAATTGACATTGTCAAAGTAAATGCCTAAGCGAGCTTCTGGCATATGCAAGTGTCCCCCAAAATCATGGTTTCCTTGCTGCTTCCCATAATAACCAGCAAAAACACGAGCCACACCCATACCATTCAGGTGTGGATTCACGTCCACCAGCCACTTTGAGGCTAGCTCCAACCCCTGAAATTCAGTTTTCCCGAGGGCCCTCAGGCCGCCAATTCTTGTTTGTCAGTCAGAAGGGTCCACACGCCACCCACGGACCAAGTCCCCGGACTGCCCATCTCTTCCCACCCCGTCGAGCCACGCACCGAGACGTCCCGGCCGCCCGCCAGACGCCGCAGCGCCTCGCGCTCGAAGCGCGCGTGGGCGGCGCCGAAGAGGCGGAAGGCCTCCGGCGCCGAAGCGGCGCCTCTTCCGCGGGGGTTCGCGGGTTTTGGGCCACAAAAGGCATGGACCACCACCGGCAAGGAAGGCCAAAAGGTTGGCAGCGGACAACTGAGTGATTGTGAAGATGCCCAGCATTTCGAGGTAGTGTAAAGGGAAGCAAGAGCAGAATCCACGTGTTTTGCAGCCAACACGCAGCAACCAAATTGACCCCACATGTCAGCACAACAAGCGAGGAAAGCCCGGTCACTTGTAAATAGATTGCTCCCAGCTACACTCCTACCAACAACGATGGAAGTCCGGCGGCACCCTGTCCAGGAAGCTAGCGTTCCGGAACTTGTCTGCGCGCCAAACCATGTGTTCTGGGAAGGGAAAGGGTTCCAACATGGTGGAAAGTGTAAAACCCTGTTTTTGATACCATGACTAAATCATGAAATCCAAAAGCAGCAAAAGCCTCGCCTCGGCTTTCAAGGAGGCATTCAGGCCATGGTGGATGAGATGATGGCGCTCATCATCACCTCGGCTTTCTGAAAGGACCTTCAAAGCCTACTGCCCCTTAGCGGCTCGCTCATCCCTTGCTAAAAGTTAAACTTTGAGAGGCCCTAAAAGTCTTTGAAGTCTAAGGGTATGGCTGGAACCGCCCAGTCACGTCAAGAGAATGTGCTTGGGGAAGCATCATGTTCCCTGCACTTGCCACTTAACACATCACCCCACCCAATAGAAGCTCACTTCAAATCGCAAACCAAATGGGGCTGTTTGAACCAGCTTGCTCAAGGGTAAGCGTCAAACCACGGGGAGCCCTCAAGTGATGGTTTCCCTTTTGGCTTCCCTCTAAACCGACCGGGGTGCCCTCAACATAAACACGGGGATGCCCAGGCCGCCCAGGCCTTCGAAGTCTGTGTTGCCGCCCACTCGGGTGTAGGACAGGTTGTAGAAATGCAGCAGGGCCATCATTGGCAAATTCCTCTCCTCAGACACTTCTGGGTTCATTCGGTTCACGTGTCACGTGCCAGCCCCGAAGGTTTGTTGGAACGGGCTTGCCAAAAAACACGAGCTTCAAGCCAAAGAACCCCAACAATTTCATGTTTCGGAGCAAATGGCTGAAAGGAAAGTGCGCTTCGGATGCTTTTTGGTTGCTTCGGTTACCACTCCATTTCACCTCGTTTCGCGTTGCCAACCACTGTTGGCTCTGGAACGAATGGACAAAACTGTGCCACGGCAAACTCGACGCGCGGCTCCTTGCGTCCGAGTTTGACTTTTGAAACCCATGTCCAATCCACCACTGGTTCAAGCACTACTTGTCTAAAACCAAGTGCATGGCGCCAGGGGAAAAATCAAGTCAAGCTTGAAAGGTGGGGACCTCCCAACATGGTCAGGTTCATGTTGATGTTCTTTTAAAACCAGCCATGCGAGGCTTTCCCAAAAAAGACGCGCTCACATTTAGGAGCTTCCTGGCTGCGTGCTTGTTTTGAAAGGCAATGAAGGGACCTCTCGGGAAGATCTTTCACTCCCGCACTGTTCTTAAACGGTCGACGCGGCCGCCTTGCTGGAAGTACTGGGGGGGGGGGGGGAAGCATTGCATCTTGCAACTGTTGCGTTCTGCTGCGTTTCATCCGAGGGAAAAAACACAAGAATGTGCAAAGATAGCGTCCCATTCCGGCGGATTTTTGCTCGAACCCATGGCTCACCCAAGACGACTGGACTCATCCAAGGCTCGCCGCCATGGATCCACTGAGCCCCTGGCAACAAAGAACTCGGCCAAACCCCGACTCACAACATGAGTCATGATCAACACCTGGTATTAACATAGCCTACGCAGAACCATGTAAACAAGTGAAAAAGCGGCTGCACCCATTTATGGTTGGGACTGTATATTCCTTGTTAAGCTTCATCTACCCGAGTTTTGATCGTGGCTCACATTTTTCCCTGTGCTCTCCTCAGGTGGGCCTACGCGTTGTTTAAGGGTCACTGTTTTTTGGGGAAGGCAAGAAGAAAGCTATTCAAAGGTTGGCTCAAGTGGGCTCCAAAAGGACAACGCGTTATGTCCAAAATCCAAAGTTGACATTCTTGGCATCTCCTAATCACTTCTTGATTGGACAGTACTTAGGATCTTGGACATGGGAAAAACACTTGTTGGGGGGAGGGGGGCGGGGGTTCTGCAAGGTTTACATTGTATTAGTCTGCAGGTGTTTTCCACATGAAACCAGCTAGCGGGACCAAACAGCTTGGCAAACAATATTGTGGAAACGGCCTGCATGGCCAATGCTTCCTGGCTATTGTCTGCAACGAAAGCTTTACTTGTTGCTGGTTCGCGGGGAGCCACAGATCAAAGATCACGTTCGATTGGCCACCACAAATGATGTCCAAACCCTCCAGGTGTCTTTTCTGGGCGGAGTGCTCCCCCTTTCGATCGATTTCAAATGAAGTCCCAAAGGACAACCCCAGCGACCTCCTTTGGCCAATTTTCCGCGGGGCACCCAGTCTTGGGGGTCTCCCCACTTCTCAGCGCCGTGGACCTGGAAGCCCTGGGCCCCCGCCTTTGGGCAGGCCGCGGAAGGGCCCAGTGGGCAGCGCCTTGGCGCGGCCGCCCAGCTCTGGCTGCGCCTCCAGCACCACCACCTCGCCTCGCGAGGCGAGACGCGTGCGAGGCACCCAGGGGCTGCCACAGATCTGAACCACACGAAGAACCGGAAAAAAAAAACCGTTGGACATTGAAGAAAATTTGGGGGGTGAAATTAAGGAACGCCTGGTTGAGTGATATTGTGGCTGTGTCATTGAGGGCATCCTTTACTTGGGAAACACCCCCCCCCCGACAATCGCATCCGGGGTGAACATTTCCGACCTATCAATATCAGCCCGCCCTCCAGTTTGGCCTTTAGGCAAGCATGGACCTTGTAGGTAGTCCTTCAACAAACAGGCTCCTCGAACAATTATTTACCAGTAAAACGAAACTTACTTTGGACTTTGAATTGGCCTTTCCAAAAGGTGATGGTTGACGGCAAGCAAGCAAATCGCTTAGGCGCAAGGGGGAGCGGCTTGGCTCGTCCTGAAAATAGAACGCGCGGACCGTTGCACTGGTTCCATGATGTTGCCAAACTTCCAAACGCCTCTTCTTTCTCGAAACACCGCCTTTCATTCGCGGAAGTGGCGCTTTATTCGAAGCCAAGCAACAACACAAGTGTAAGTCTCGGACTGGAACTGGATGGGCGAGCTGGGTTTCACACCTCCCTCCCCACTGCCCGTCTCCCCCAAGCTGGGCTCTGGGGCCCCGACACCCGGCGCGGCGCAAGGTCTGGGCAGCCACAAGCCCCGCCAGCCCCGCCCCCAGGACGATGCTGCGGCCTCCGCACCTCGGGTCCGAGTCGCTCGCGACGCGCGGTGAATGGCTCCCTCTACGGGACATGAATCAGCGGGTGTACTAAAGGATTGAGTGTCTAAACCGAGAATTACGAAAAGCATGCAGTGAATCAAGATGCCTCTTTGTAGCTTTGAACGAATGAATGAATGAATGAATGAATGAATGAATGAATGAATGAATGAATGAATGAATGAACTAAGGAAAGGAATGGAATGAAATGGAATGGAAAGGAATGGAATGAAATGGAATGGAATGAAATGGAATGAAACGGAATGAAATGGAATGAAATGCAACGCAATGACATGACATGAATGGATAAATGAATCAATGGCTGGATTCATCTCGTTTCCACTCAGAAAATCACAAATGAGGAAGCACGTGCACAAACATGTCGCCCTGTCAAACCAGAGACCTTCAAATCCCATGGATCGGCTCATGTTCAATTCTCCTCTGAGGTCCTGAATCAAATTCCAAGACGGGTGCTCTCCAAGCATTCTGTACCATAGTCATCTGATTTGATTTTACTCGCTTGGCCATCAGCAACGTGCACTCACGGCCACATGACTCTAAAGGGTACTGGTTCGGCCAACCAAAGATGTTACATTCTCGAAGCCTGGCTACGCTGTTTCATGTGGAACACCCTTAAAAGTGGCTTGTGACTGACATCCACCCACCAGTTCAAAACTGCGAACTATACCTGGCTTGGAGCTCTCTTTCTAGCACCCTGAAAATCAAGCGTAAGCTATCCAACATGTTACCCGCCATTTGGCCCACAATTCCTGCAGCCACCGAAGGCGAGAGAGATACTGACGAATCCGTCCAGAGCCATTCTTTTGCGCCAGGGAGCCCATACAAGCCTCACTCGCATGACTACTGGCTTTCTGGCGACCTTTAGCGTCTATTAGTCACAATTCGACTGGCTGAAAGGGACACACCGTTCCTGTGGCTGCACTGAGCAAGTTAACTAGCTTCGATGTGAGCTGAATGTCATGAAGCAAAGTTGCGATTGCCTCGTCGCAGCACATGTCTCCGTTGCCTGAGACGCCATCCGTCTCAACGCGTGAGCAGGGCACGCTTAAGGGGTCTTTAGCGCAAGTGTATGTATATATATATATATATTTGGAGGTTTGGCCGAAAGGAGATTCATCACCTCTCCCAAACAATAACCCCCCCGTCTAAAAAAACCTCGGAGGGTTTCTATTCTTGGGGTCCCCCGGTTTTTTGTCAGAACTGCTTAAGATTGAGTTGCTTAGAAAAGGGTGGGTTCCAATTGGGAAAGTGAGACCCCTTTGATTTGCACAAAAAGCGCTCAAACACAATTTTAGAGTAAGAACTTTTGAAGGGAAGGGACCCATTCGATTTGCAAAAAACATGTTCCAAGTAACGGCGGGAACCTAATGGAGACCCTAATGGCAAAAACCTCTCAAGCAAGGCAACCCGTTGGATTGAAAGGAAGAAGCGCTCAGAATACAACTTTTGAGAAAGATTTTACGAAGGGAACCTAGTGAGGACCCTAATGATAAAATCCTCTCCCGCTCAGGTTCTAGGGAGCTTGGCTGAGTTCATCTGGTTTCCAGAGAGTTTAGTTTTGGTTTAGCATTGGGTAATTTAAAATTAGGATTGGCACATCTTGGGGTCGGCTGGAGGGGGGGGGGGTTGTATTAAATTGTATTATTTGGGGGTCCGTCTACAAAACGCAAGACGGGATTACTGCTGCACATCCCCGACACTTGCAAGTGACGAGCCTCGTCACAAGTGCTGCCAAATGCCAGGATGATCCTTAGTGACAACATCTGGCGCCAGAAGCGTGTCTGTGAACAAATCGAGCGCGGCACAGCCAGTCACGAGAGTATTTAGAGGAAATTCCCTTTGAGACCCTTGGACCCATTGTTCCGCTTAATGGGCTCCCTCCAAGTCTCAAGCCAAGTGAGCAGCGTCCAAAGCCGTGGACTTTTGGTGATACCCAAAACTTGTAAAGGTGTACATCGGATGGTGGAACAAGGTCACACAAAGTGTTGGCGCGCCAACTGGACGTTGCGCCAAGACTCAGGCTGAGGAGCCACGGTCCGCGGACCTGCGGTTGAGAGACAGGTCAACCCTCGCGACCCTTCAAGCGAAGGACTTGGGAACCCGTGTGGACAGTATCCGCTGGGGCACTCACAAGTTTGGCATGGCCATTTTCTGCAGGTGGATGTGCGGTAGATATTCCTCAGAGATCTTCCATGCCGTCTGTCGTGCATCTGTGGATCGTCCACTCACTTGCCCTAAGGAAAGCAAGGTTTCAGCTTCTGGGACCTAAAGCTGAGATGGCAAAACCAGAAATGTCCAGTGACCCTGGAAGAAAAAGGGAACCCTGTTTTGTTGATCCCGTCCGTCATTGACCTGCGAGAAGAAAGCCTGCTGAACTGGGCAAAAGTCCCAAAACCTCGGCTGGCCCCGCTGGCGTTGCTGTTGGAGGCCGAGTTCCGGAGATACCCCCTAGAGGATCCTATAGAGCCCTTTGGCTCCCCATTGAAGGACTTACATCATCCCCTCCTCGACAGGATCTGTAAGTCAGCTGGTTAAAACCACTCCATCTACAGCCAGCCGAACCTTAACAACCCAAACCCCAAGGCCGATACCCCGCCCCTGGCCGCCCCCGGCCTGAGGCCGGAAGACGGCCATGCCCACGCCATAGCGGAGGTATCCGTTGGCATGCGACACAAAACAAAAACGACGGAAGGGTGGGCTGTTGCGAAAAAACCAGTCGGGGTTGGCTGTGCGCTTCGTGTGGGTCACCCAAAACTGGCGCCCTGAGTTTCCCTGGCCCTTTGAGATGCGGTTTCTTCACTTGGCACCAGGACAAAGGCCTCCTTTTTGTTCAGCCTGTTTACCTGATACTCTAACACGATGGCGTTTCTGCACTTGACTGGAGTAGCACAATTTGCGTCCGAAGTGGATTGGCCAAAAACACGCCTGGACTGCTTGGTTGCCATTCAACTGATCTTGAAACAGTTGTTCCAAGCTGGCAGCGAAACACCTGCGGCTGTGGCTGCTTCCTTGAGTATGTCTTTTCACCAGCGGCAGACTCCATATCAGCAACCTTGCGTGCACAGTGCCCAAGCACGTGCACAGATACTGCCAAGGTGAGTTACAGGATGTTTTCAAGCGGCTGGTGACCTGTGCCATGCAATCTGAAAGAAACAGGTCGTGCCTCGACTTGCAGCAATGCATTTAAGGGAAGCCAAGTATATAATGGTATTGTGATGTGTCGCAAGTTATTTGAGCATCGGATGGATATGGCATAAGTTATGTGACCTTCTCGAAGGCGTATGTGTCGGGCTTTATCAGGACCGACATCCCCTCGAGTCGCCGTTTTGGCAAAGCGGTCTGACGCCAACTTTCTCAGAAAATTGAAGGACACTCCCACAGGAAGCTGGCAACGCCGAATTGTTTTTGGCGAACTTCCGGCACTTCCTGGCGTTGGCGCCATTGGACATCGGGACGTCATGTCACTTCGCCACCAGCACGATGTATTTCATAGAGGGCGGCGGAGGTGCAGTGCAACCTCAGACCCGACTCACGGGCAGAGGTCTGGAAGGATCTGCCTGATTTGAGTGCTCCATTGGGGCCTGCCCTCCTTTCCCGTCCTCCTAAGCCAACAGACTACAAATGGTAAGTCTGCGACTCATATCGTCAACGCTGAACGTACCTTGACTGAGGCCCCAACGCAAGCAAAACGCGCAAGCAACAACAACAACAACATATCATTTTTGTCAGCAATGTTGGCAGTTGCTTGCCCCGACTTCAAGTCAGGCTTGTGCCACTCGGAGGGGAAGATAGGCATCGCCCTCAACCAGCTTGTATAGCTGCTTTGCAAGCCATTTCTACTCCAGACTCCAGAGATTCCCTTCCTCCCATAAACATAGCACCTGTGGGAGGGTACCTGGAAGATGAGTTTCCTCTGGACCAAATCTTCCCTAACCCAAGAAACGAGAACAACGGCCGCTCTCTTGTTGGTATTCTCAAACCGTCCACTCAAGCCTATGCCTATATCTAGAAGCTCAACATTCTTGGATCGCACAAGCAACTGGGGTCCCATTAAAAAGCAAGGCATCCTGCCTGTGGCACCCGATTCCGAAGGAACCCCCCTTCAAAAAAGGGGTCATTCCAACCGACTTCCAAGCAGTCGCCTCGATTTCAATCGAATTGCTCGCGCCTGGGCCGTAGAAGGGATTCAAGTGAATCTGGCAGCGCCGCTGCAGGCTGTGGCCCACATCGGCCACCACCTGAAGCGAAGTCAGCGAAGCCTCTTTTCTATAGCCCGCAATGGAACGCCCTCAGGGGAAGGGTTCAAAAAACTCACCATGTCCGGCATGTCCGACACCTTTTTGTGGTGGAGAAACACCAAACATAGGGAACCTGGGTCCCCCTAGAACCAACTTGAGCTTTGACGGTGCCTTCTATCTTGGCTTCTGCTCAGCTCACACAAACAAATATCAGTTCAAACATCCGCGTAATTCACATTTGGGGAACTAACTGTGCAGGAAACCATGCTTGCAACCGTGTAAAACACAACAAAAAACAGTGAAAACAGCTGCGCAGGCAGCATGGCAGCTCCTTTCCAGGCAAAAACATGACTCGACTCCCCAGTTGAACTTGCATATCAAAGCGCAATGACAAACTTCATGGACCTTGCTTCCTGAAAGGAACAACATGTAAAGCAACCATCTGCAAGTTCTCAGCATGTCCAAACATGATTCAAGGGCTCGCCATACACTAGGCAACGACACGACGCCCAAAGCGCGTGCCTTGGCTTCATCCTCTGCGAAAGTTGCCACGACCTCGCCCCTCGCTTTGAATTCCTTTGAATTCAAAGCGAGGCCATCGACAAAAACTTCATCCCCCCCCAGGGTATGATTGATGGTACTTCTGCTTTGGACCTTTGTTGGTGGGATCCGGTTTTGACCACTTTCCTACGGCTCGATCCAACATGAGCAGCTTCTGAACGAACAAACACGGAAGAATTATTCAAACAATGGGACCGGCGCGAGCTAACATAAAACAGCTGTTCAACTTCCGCAGCTTTGGGCCAAGCGACGCAAAGGCCCTGCGTGGCAGAGATGATGTTGCCCAAAATCCGCCGCCACATCCTTGGCCGAGCGTGGCCCAAGTCTGGCACAAAGGGCTCACCAATTCTCCCTGCCGAAGGCCCAAGGGAATTCAGCTTTGCTCAAGTCCTCTGCAAAAAAAACATATTTCCAGTAGTCGTAGCTTCGTTTTAATACCAACAAAGAAAAACAACGACTGGGGCTTAAGCAAATGGAAGCTTAAAGCTGACCCCATACTTACAAAATGGCACCACAAGTAAGGCTTAAAGGCAGCCCAACAGCAAGAAACAAGGACGCTCCGGCCTTCCTCGTTGGCACGGAGCCTGCAGCAAACGGCTGCCATAATTTTCTATCTGAAAAAGGCGATGACAAAGCCTAAGCGAAACCTAGGTCTGCAGCGGATTTCCTGGCAAAAAGCAAGTTGATGTCAAAGGTGCCCACCCCTCCTAGCAAAAAGCGAGCAGCGAGGGGTTTGCCAAGCATCTCCCGGTTCACCGTGCACTCTGGATGGATGGCAAACATGAGCGATGCAGCCGGGTGCTGAGTTGCAGCCAGATCCAGCTGGGCAAAGCGTAAGCGGAGGTGAGGAGTTCCTCAGCAATCAAAAGCCTGGGAAATGATATTGCAGACCTGCCCCCCAACTCTTTCCCTGGTTTCCAAATAAGGCCTCAATAAGGTGGTGGGGATTCAGATCCTGTGCAAAATGGGGCAAATGGCCACCTTAAACCCCCGAATCCACCCTAAACCAACCCCGAATGATCCTACCCAGCCCGACAACGTGCGCAGCCAAATTGCCCCTTTTGGGGGAAGCCACGAGGTCATGTCAGGTTGATTTGCTTTCAAGGTGCTTCTTCGCGCGAAGAGCTCCTTCTGTTGCCAGTACCTTGCCGCTCAAAATGCCGGCGCTATTCATGTGTCAAAAAAGTGGCTCCCCCGAAATGGCGGTCTTCCTTTTGGTTCCCTTTTTAGGGTGGAAGAGTAGTTAACAAACACCCATTTGCATGTCACTTAACATGTGAAGGAGTGCGAGACAGCTTCCTGGCAGGAAGCAACCACAAATGAAACTAAAGAAAGCCAAACACATAACAAATAGGCAGCCCAAACCCAAACAAGCCAAGCAAGACACCAGAAGCAGGAAACCAAGGAAAACAAGAAACTACAGGAAGTCACCAAACCGAAAATCGCCCCCCTGCAAACTCTAACATGGACCTTCCCTTCAAAGGGGGAAACTCCGAAAAGGAGTTTTTGGGGGGTCCATCTTCTGGAGATTGGTGGGATGAGACCAACCGAGTCGGCAACTTTTGCCCAGGTGCCCGCCCTTCGGACCCCAGTCTTCCACGTCTGAGCCCAGCATGGAAATCTGCCGCACGCCGTTTCTTCCTCTGGAAGTAGGGTCCCAGCCCAGTGACTGTGGTAGGGAAAGAGGGCGAGCCCTTGACCACGGCTAAGGGAGCACTCGCCAGAAAGGAGGTGCTACTGAACAGTTCGTGCTTAAAAATGTTGTGCCACCTGATCAACCCACACCCTCGCCCAATGTACACACTAGTCTGTCAGCCCATGAGCGCTATTCGAGCGTTCTTGTCGACCCTCAAACTCAGTTAACTATTGCGATGGTTGGAAAGCAAGGGAGCCGCTTCAATGCATCTGGCTCCTCATTGGCTTCAACGAAGCAGTCTCCTCCACATTTGCTCGGAAATGCAAAGGCCCCCATCCATAGGAGCTATTCCGGGTTGCCAAAAAGCTTTTGTGGCTTCGAAGCAGTAAGGCACTTGAGTGGATTGGCCAAGAAAGTCCCAAGTTTCTGTTATGGACACTAAACTAGCCTGGCCAAAAAGCATGAAGTCTAGGAACTCAGGGAGTTGGAACCCCCCCTTCCCCCTTCCGGGTCCTAGCACCTGCTGGGTCAGAAACTCCGAGAGCACTGGAAGCTCCTGCCTCAGCACGCTGGGTGTGACAGGCGTCTTCAGCAGCTGAACATACGTCATCCGTTTCGCACCACTTGGAAACCATGGGGAAACCATTGTTATTGTTGGTTGGCATTTGTAGGGGGGTCATCATGGGTCATCATTCCAGGGGTTCTCAGGCGGTGCATAATTTCGTCCATCCACAGTTTTAACTGTAATGGAAGCGTCAGTAGAATGCAGGGCACGTTTAAACCAATTTGAGTGATGCTTGTAGCGGCTTTTAGCATCTTGTTGGCCCCTTATATGTCCAATCTCCTTGTTGCCCTCTTGGAACAATGCAAACAACAGAATTTCATGCATCATGCGCCGTGCTGCTTAATTACTTCAGGGCAGCTAAGGAACAAGGCCCAGCCGGAGGCATGATGTCCGCCCTTGGGAACACTTGGCATTGTTGGTTTCCAGAACCTTGCCTCGACCCTCAAAAGATTGAGCGGCTCTAGTTCATTCAGCCCGCAGGAAGAACGCTCGAATTGCCAGAAAGGCGCGGAACGTCTGAGTCTAAAAACGATAAGCCCCCACCAGGCATTCCCTGGCAACGTAGTCTCTTGAAGGGCTGGTCGGCAGGAAATGGAGACCCGGAAAAAATAGGCCTCCCAAAGTCACAAACATCCACTAAGCTCCGCAAGCTAAGGAACATTAGATCTTTTGGACCCCATTTGTCCAATCAAAAAAGCACTCAACATAACAAAGACCCAAATGGATGGCTTCCCTTTGTACCTTGGATGTCCCTGCCATACTAGGAAGGTAAGGAAACAAAAACGGACCCCCCCAAAAGGTTTTTACACCACATGATACCGTACACCAAAAATACGATTGTTTTATGAGTCTGGTTGGTTTACTTAAAAAAAGGGAAACAAAAAGAAAAAAAACGCGGAATCCGCCGTCCAAGGGGCGCACTGCCACAAAAGGGCAGCGCCACATGCAGGCACCCCGCAGCATCCAGCGGCAGACCGGACAAGGCACCCAGCGACTCCAAGAGGCCCAACATGCCTTGGCACCTTAGCCGACGGACGGTCCCTCGAGTTCCTTCCAATTCCTGGGACCTTTTTGGCGAGCAAAAGTTGTTGGACTCCTGAGGGGCATAGCTACATTGTGGCTTTAAACATCTGGTCGACATTCACCCCGAAACCCAAGTTTTGGGCCAAGATGAGTTGCCCTTGGTGGCTGGTGGGCCAAATCCACAGAGCACCAGCCGGCAATTGGTTTATTCCAGTGATAGGGTTTCATCCATCCACTCTGCGGGATTTTGTCCATCCGCAGCATGTCGCAAATGAACAAAAAGCAAACACGTCGAAGCAAAGAGCCAGGTACAGGCATCAAGATCAAAGGTCAAGTAGGGTTTCAGAAACAATTGCAAAAGGTGAACCGGTTACACTAGCTCGAGAGTGCTCCTATCGAATTCCACTTGAAGGGATCCCTCGAGGGAGAGTAGATGAATCCTTTTAGGTCCTCGGGTTTCCCTCGACCTCTGGCGCGATCCAATGAGGCTTGGAATCCATATCCCAGCCGCGAAGGTGTTCAACCTCCAAGGATACAGTTGAGCTCAGAAAGTCACCAGGGCCACAGTCCAAGTGGTGGCTGTGATGCGTTGAAACTCTTACAACAAAAACGTGTCTACGGGAGGAAACGTATATGTTCAAATAACCCCTTGTCGAACGCGAATTATCTCAAAGAGGTGTTCCAGAGCGGATATCTGGCACTGGAAGCGCACAAAGCGGAGATTCATCTTCTTGAGACATCCAGGGGCATCTGGCAATTACTCTCATTCCAGGCGCAAAGGTGCCCACACAAGATGTTATAAGCATGTGTGCCAAAACCAGATGGACAGAATTGAAGGTGAAGTTGTCTAGCCACTGGGCTGTCCGTTCCTGTGGGGGCTTTGACCAGGCAAGCAGACATGTTCCAAGTTTCAACTTTGCTTTTTGCCACCTGGCCCTGGTCCAAGCCGTTTGTTTCAGAGTCCGACCCCTGCAAAAACTGAACATGAAGGAAAACCAACAAGGCGCAAAGATAGAGAGACCAGCAAAGCCTGGCGATGATCGACGGCCCAGTTTCTGCGGGGCAGTGAGTCTAAGTTCCAGGCGGACGCCTCAATGATGCCTTGCAAGGCGGGAAGAAGTCCATTGGGGACTCGAAGTCTCCTCCTCGCACATGGATCCGAGGACGGAAGGGTGGGGCTGCTGTAGGGAATGGTTGGGAGGTTCGTTCCCAGATCTTCTAAGAATAAGCAAGAAGAGGGAAGGATTCATGGAGACTTGGGGTCACTGATAAATTAGGGCTCCCATTGGACACTAGATACCACTATAACAAGTATCCAGCCAACTGAGACCTGCCTGTGCATAACACAAACGCGCAAATGCATTGGCTCGGGTTGTTGTCAACATGGCCATGTTACTTTGGCTTGCTGAAAGCGTGGCTGGCTCCCTACTGAGTCGAGTTTGCAACCTTTCGGCCGAGGCTGATGTCACCGGAGAAATCTAACTGTTCTGATAAGCAAGCGGGCTGTCCCACAAAAAAGTGTAGCGCAATGGGACGCATGAATCAACTATTGGTTTTACTAATCTTGTGTGGCCAACTTGCAGCCCTCTGCAAAAAGTAGATCCCCTTTGACATGATCATTGGAGGGCAAGCACAGGGCACCCTTCTGACCGACAGCGAGCCGAAACAAACGAAGAGAAACCACGGAAAGCGCGACGGTAGGAAATTAAAGTCATGTGCAGTCTTAGCAACCTCCATCCAAGCAGCCACACTTGGGCATCACTCAGTGGCCCAAGGACCCAGAAACAAAAAGCTTAACCTCGTGGGCGACGACTGAATGTAGACCAGCATGGGAAACAAAAAGGTCAAAAGCTCGGCTTTGGACTGAGATGACCAGTCAGTACTACTCAAAACTCGAACATGAGCCCAACGCAGCCAGCCCACGGCATGTCTCACTCCTGGTCCATAACGTACCTCATGCTCCTCCCCATCCATCACAAATCCTCGTGCCGACGTATGCCACGATGGGTCGTGCGGGGTTTTCCCGAGGGGCTTCTCTGTTCTCCATGGCGCTTGAGGCAGTCTTTCACAAGAGGACCCACAAAATACGAAACTGGACGGGGAAACCTAGCCCGGCGTGCAAGTGGAATTCTAGCAGTTTCGAGCCCCCAGCCAACGGCAAAAGGGGAGAACCACCATGGAACAATGGGGTGTTGCTTGTGTTGGCCAATTCAAACGTGCACCCAGGAACGGTCTGCGTATTTAAGCCGCTGAACAGATGTTAGCCCACCGCTTGCCCTCCTGATGTACAAAAAAAGCACTTTGGCGCCACTGTGAAGTCTCAATACGTCCTTTATTGCAACGTGCAGGGCTGATTGCCCAAGGTCGTTCCCAGGATTGAAGCTGACTGGAAGTTGGATCCAGCACAAATCGAAAAAAATGCAGGGCCTCCCTACGTGCGATACTCGCTGATGCATTCCGCAGCGATGTCCGACAAGATGCTGGCCGTCACTGCTTGCGGAGGGCAGCCGTACGCCATGGCCCAAGGCGTCGGCCGGGCTGAGCTGAGTGCGAGGCTTCGGTGTGCCAAGGCTTGCGAAGCAAAGCAAACAAAACCAACGTGGCTCTTACACACAGGCACCCCCAGAATCGAAATGATTGATCGCTAGTCATTGCAACTCAGGCTATCATCTTTTGCCCGCTTCCTCACAGCCGTGGATGCCCTGCAAGCCATGTGGCCAATCTGGCGCAAGTCGCGCGTACAAGCTTCTTGAACAGGGTCCATGCTGATCAGCCATCCATTGCCCCACAGAAAGCTGAAGACTTCGAGGCTAACTTCGAGGGGGACAGACAGTTCAATCTGAAGGTCCGATTTTGAGCCTCGAGCTTTCCAAACGGAGTCAGGCACACCACACAAACACCACTCATCGGAAGCGGCATCATGAGCCCTTGGCGCCAGTATGACTTGTGCACATGGGTCTTGGCAGCTTTCATAGCCTGAGCCTCAAAACTAGTTCTTTCAGCAAATCAACAAACTCGGCCATATAGCGATGGTGTCATTTACTCGGGCAAGTCAGAAAGCGGCTACCCACCTGGGTAACAACAGGGTAAACTCCACTTGCGGGCCTTATAAGTGACCAACAACTTACTAACTTGGCCGAACACCCAAGGAAGTTCGTCTAAACCGTATGGGAAGCTAAAAATAGTTGGAATTGTAGCGAGTCCCCTAGTTGCTGTGAAAACTTCGTCCCAGGCCGCCCCCAAAGGAACCAGTAAGCTGAAGCATTTAGCCGAACCGCAAACGTACCCCATTCTTGTTAGGGTATACCCTCGGGCTGGTCTGGAGTCTAAAGAGAAGCCAAAAGAAAAAGGACCATTTGTGGTGTCGCCTGGTTGACACATATGGCTGGAACCAACTGGCCAGCCTCATCTCCCCCGGTGTCTTCTGGCGGAGATGGGTCGGGCAACGGCATGCCTGGCTCGCACAGCGCTTGTATTTTGTTCGGGGGGAACCACCTGTTGGTTTTCAGGTGAAAATGAAGCTCCCCCCCTTCAATGTAGGGCTACGCTCCGCGTGCGCCCTCGGAAGTTAATCGCGGCGGGGCCGCGGCGCAGTTGCAAGGGCTTCAGCAACTTGGGGCGGATCCAAAAGACCTCGGCGCTGGGCGCTAGCATCCACCCGTGGATTTCCTTGCCAATTTTGGTAGACTTGAAAGGGACCCCCCTTCCAAAAAAGGGCCACTGGGTGTCTCTGTAGGGAATGCGGCCCTAAATGAGGGCACAATGATATTTTTCCCAACATAATGGCTTCTTTGGAATGACCCTTCACCAACCAGTAGTGGTGTCTTGCATGGAACTGAATCATTCCCATATTCCCCACAGATTCAAACGCCTGGCCTAAAACTCAGGTCCTCAAGATCTGAAGAAGCAGGGGTTGGGCAACCGAAATGCCGCCAAGGAATGAAGCATCAAATTTGGCAAAAGCTACACCACCGCCGGAGGATCCCTATTGTCCGAGCAGTGTACGTACACCAGTTAGCGGGAAAGCATGGGGGAAAACTGCTAGTGATATATTTGGAAGAGTTCGATCCAAGTGGACATCACTCACATCCCTGGCCAGGGCATAATTCCAGACAAGCCCTGGTGTTCATAATTTTGGGCCTTCCATGGCAGGAGGCAGCGGGGGCCCCCACCTGTCCATCATGCAGCTCCACCTTCCAGCGGTGGCTGTCCGCGCCGTAGGCCTGCAACACCCCCTGCCTCAGCGACTGGGCGGGCGAGTCTCGCTGAAACCCAGCGGGGACAAGAGGCAAACCAATGAAACCCGTTTTGTGTAATGGGGAAAGGGCGGGGCATGGTTGAGGAAAATGGTAGATGCAACAATCCTTCCAACAGCCACGCCACATTTGGAGGCATGTTTGACGTACTTGCCTGAGCCGACCTTACCTGCACCTGTTAATCAAGGGCTGCATTACCTTGACATAGCATGGCCATAACCTGCTTGGATGCTCGGCTTAGTTAGCAAGTGGTTCGCGTCGGTTTTAAAAGGGTTACCTCCACTTAGGAGGGGAACTTGCAAATGGAGTATCACCTAGATTACCCACAACTCACTAACTGCAATTCCATCACTGGCTGGTGCTTTGAAGTCTTTCCCATGCTATGGCTGATTGAAAGACGCATTCATGGCGCTTGGCCGCGGCCCCCGGCGCGCCATTGGTGCCTGGCCAGTTGGCAAGCAAATTCATGAAAACCTATGCTGCGGTGGAATCCCACAAAACTACAGATGGACCAACTCCTACGAGTTGCTGGGCGGGTTGGCCCAGTCCTCATGGGCTTCATCCATCCTATCTGGTGATTGCAAGCCCCTACCAATAAAAAAGAAAAACGAAAGAACAGCTTCCAGGCGGGTTTGAACCTTTTGACCAATCTTCTCGGCACAGCACCAACCTAATCAGGTGGGGATGTTCATTGGCTGTTGCGTAGGTAGCCCGCCATTCCACCACACAGACGACGCTGGCGGAAATCCACCAGCGGGTTGCTCTTCTACACAGCCGGGAATCGACGGCGCCTTTGTTCTTCACGAGGCCCTCCAGCCGCACCTGGTCATGGACCTTAGCCGCCAGCTGGATGCCTTGCCCGGACCTGTGAATGTCCAGCAATAAAACACCTTTGCGCCCGTTCTTTTTCAAGGGAATTCGGAGGCCCCTGCCCGAAAAGGAAGGCAGGGCACTGTCAGTCTGTGCTTGGTGAAGAACCGTTTCGAAAAAGAGATGTCTGTCTGGCTCTTCAATGTTTGTTTTGTGCCTAGCTAAGACCTCTTTGGTCCAAGAGCAGGCCCCGCCACCCAAATGGGCGGTTACCATTTGGTTTCCCTTGAAATAGCCCAAAAGGGATGGGAAAGGCTTGAAGGCCTGGGCCCAAAGAGTTCAAATGGATTCTAACAAGCTCCGGATGGACGCTACACGCCTTGTCCCGTTGTGCTTTTGGAAGACATTGCCAGGCCGGCCTGCCCCCAAACTTCATCCATCCTGTTGAGGGATCTACTTGACCAGACTTAGACCCCCTGCAAGAAGCTAAGTTTTTGCCCGCATCACCATGGTTCGTTACAGAGCTGATGGAACGACTACAAACCCTGAGCGAGTGGTTGTGCAAATGAGACTGCGATGCCCAACTGCGGTAAACTTGAGGGGCAAATGGTGAAACAAATGTGGATGGGACACAAGGCAAGCAGAAGCCAGAGGTGTCCCAAATATACATGCACAATACCCCGCACGGGGGGGCCAAAGAAGCTGATCGCACACCGCTGGAAATATCAGGACCACGCATGGACCCATCCACCGATCTGAGTTTGAACGCGGCGGGGCGACACAGTTGGTAAGGGGCCGGTTCTGCTAGCCTTTGCAGCAGGGAGGCCAAGAGCAGCAATGGCTCAAACGTTTCTTGGAGGAAAAAAATGGTGAAGGAAACAAAGTGAGACAGGTCAGCTAAGTCTGGCACAGTCTACCCTCCACCAACCAACTCGTTTATCCTCCATTTGCCTAAGCCCCCTGGAAAAACGTAGCTCCAGTAAGTGATTGATTCCCTTAAAAGAAAACCAACATCGCAAAATACAAAACATATTGAAGAATGTTCTTCAGCAAATGGAAGCTGTCTCTCCTCGTACCTAGGTCCACCGGGCTGCCGGACGTGCAAGATGGGCTCTCCCGAGTTGAAGGCCTCGGCCTCTGCTGCGGACATCTCAGCGCGGCCATCCTGCGGTGACCAAAGTGCCGGCCCCTGGAAGCAGGGGATCTCTGATATACGCATACATATACTGATAAACACAAATAATATAACAAATATAACACACAGAGACATCGATAAATACAAAAGGGGCAAAAAGCAGTTACAGCTGGCCTGACATAGGCCCGTTGAAGGGGTGCAAAGGGGCAACAGGTTAGTCAGGTGTATGCCTCATTGTGTCAGTTAGCCACCTGCTGAGTCATTGTAGATGGGGTGTGGTTGTGAGGCTCGCCTACTTTAAACGCACCTGAATGAGCCCATAGAGCAATGAAACTTCAAACGGTGTGCCTTCAAACTCACGCAACTTGGAAAGCTAATGACTTTTTGTGGACCAACCAGGAGAGTGGGAAAGGCAAACAGTTCGAAGGGAGCTCCTTCCATCCGACCGGTTGAACCCCGTCCGGACCTCGCTCACCAGCCAACTGTCCAAGCGGCGAACTGCCACTTTGGCTGCCTTCGGTCAGCGGGCGGCTCGGCTCCGACCCGTTTTTGGGTTGGCATTCTTTAGCGGGGGAGTGGCCAAACGAAACAAAGAAAAGGGTGTTACCGAACAACGGGATATCAATGAACATGATTACGTGCCCCTGATGTACGCGCCCCAAATGTACTGTACGTGCTCCTTTTTACGCCTATCATCAGAAAAAGATAAGGCCCCTCAGATTACGTAGAATATGGGTTGGTTGGGGAATGTTTCGGGTGCTATTCCTGAATATGTTGATTGTGGCTTTGCCTAGGATCAAGTTCCCCATGCATGGGGATAAATAAAGACTGGGGATAGTCTAAAGGGCAAGCGGGTACTTCCAACCTCGAGCCATCACCCCAAAAGGCAACGCGCTTGTTGGCAACCAAAAGGCTTTGGGCAAACACATCCAACCACCATGAACGGTGTGTGACCAACCGCTGGCCCTAGCGCGATTTCCATTGGCACTCGGTACCAAGTAGATGTGGCAACATGTAGGGACTCCTCGACTTCCTTTTGGTGGCCCCAAAACACCGACGTGGATTGGGCACCGGCACCCCCAACACTAAGAAACCAATGCCAAGCCAATAAATGCTGTAAGCCAATCTCAAACTGAAACCAAGCCAAACAGGCAACAGTTACCTCAAAGTTACAACCCATGTCCTTCGAGGCTTCTCGTGCTTTCAACCAGAAGTTACGCTACCTCAAAGGACATGAGGCGCCTGAGGCGAAAGGCCCATCTCCACAAGGCGCTCCAATGCGGCGCAGTGGTGCCTCTGCTTCGAGGCGACGTGTGGACAATTCTTTTTTTGGGGTTGTTCTAAATTGGGAAACCACGGGAACAACCAGGATTTGTTTGGGACACCTATTTCAAGACACCCTCATTTACTCCTATACACCCCTGTAACCCATTCGGTGATTCAAAGTTGTTACTTAGGAAGTGGTTTTGGCTTGCAGGTAACCCTAGTTGTAACCTATATTGAACACTCAAGTCTCCAAAGCAGCCCTTATACTGTAATCAGAAGATTGCCAACCACTTAAGCCCATCGCCTCCTTGTGGGATGTGCATCCCACGGCGAAACGCCTTCCTTGTTCCTGGGCCCTGCGCCGCATCGGCGTATCATCCTCCGGCTTGGCGGCCGAGGCCTCGCCGAGTTCGGCGCAGCGAGCGCGGCGAAACGAAGAAAAGTCTGTAAGACAGGGGGAGAAAAAATGTGCCACAGCCAGAGCCCCAGAGCCTGCCCCCTCCCTACCCTTGAAGGAAAAGCCAGCGGAAATCCGAGTCTTGGAAAAGGGGGCGGGGTCCCAAATGAGTCCTAATCTGATCCACAATGAGACAACACCACGGCAAGAAAGACTACCACCATCTGGCATAAGGGATTCAAGCACCAGTGATGCAAAAGCCGTTTCACATCCCAGCGGTGTTACCTCGAAATTGTGAAGATTGCGCGAGAAAACAAAAGCAACCTGGCATTCCAGCTGCCTCAGAAAATCAAGTTGAAGCTCGTTCTGGCGTGGGCACTTCACCATGCTCGGTTCCTGGCTCCTGTTTGAATGGAACATCGCAGAATCGCGCTGGTTAGATTGGCAAAGTGAGCCATCTGGCGTGCCAGCCCTTTGGTTCGCTTTCAATGACTCATGGCCTCCCCAAGATGCAAATGTTGTTTTTTTTGATTCATCTTTGAAGAAGCTTACGGGGCGATCACTCTCCGCAAGAATGCTCAAGCATCGCCCAGCGGCCCTGGTGGGCACACCCAGCAACAGTACCAAGCCCAGACACTGGGTGTCGCGCCCACTTCAGTTAAACACGTTGCTTCCTGCTTGACCCCAACAAATCTCTTGCTGCCTTGCACCTTTGATTCCATTCCAACCCTTGCTGAACTTGCAACCCTAAACCCAGGAGCGTTTGGAAGCAGTGTCTGCTCTCACTGTCTTGTTTAGTCAATGAGGATTCCTGGGACAGGCCAAATCCGGTCAAACTCGACTTGCTTTGGATGAATCGTGAGGCTGTGAGACGGGAACCCTCAACCCCCCTCGAGCAATGTCGACCCGTGAAGAAAAAATCCTCCCCCCCAAGTCAACTATTTATTGATCAGACGAATTCCCTCTGGAAGAGAGAGGAACTTTCACTAAACAAGGCCCCCGCCCCCCCAAAAAAAGGGAGGTAATTACTAGTCAGAAGCCGACATGTTGCTTCCACCGTTCTGGGCTCCCCTGCGCTTGACTCCGCTTGCGGATGGCCCGGCGCAGGGCCCGGCACGTGTGCCGGGTGCCCGACGGGGTGCTTCGAGCCTAACTCCCGAAGCGGCTGGAGACGAACGAGCTGGGAACCCCATCCATTTGGAGGGAGGCTACGGAGAGGACAGGGGTTGCCATTTATTTGTCCATGGTTGTGAGATATGACACGAAAACGAATTTGATTCAACATCTAATAGGTAGGTTGCGAATAGTTCCAGGGCGACTTCCCCCAGTTACAGCTACATCCATGGCTGTAGCCTGGCTAAGTTGCATGAACAAAGGAAATGCAAGCATGCTGTGTTGTCTTCCTTGGTTCTTTTTTGGGGCGCCGAAAGACTGTTGTCAATGAGCATGTCCCGGGGTCCCTTGCTACGTGACGTACTTTGACCTCAAACATGACCTCAGTGTATATAAGGTGCCTCTGGGAAAGCCAAGCAAATCAGAACATGTTTGGCTATATGGATCGAAGACCCCCTAAACACAACACCAGGCGTGGTACAAGCTGCCAACGGCATAGGTTGGCTTCCGACCTTGACAACTGCATTCCTGGTGAGATCACACCATGGGATGCAATGGACAATTCTAAGTGAGATCGGTGGAGGTGCGCTCACAAGCAAGTGGGGTCGGTGTCAAAGGGAAACTAAAGGAAAACAGCTTATTTTTTGAGGAGGGGTCACCTAAAACATGACACACCGTTTTGGTTTCCCATTTTTTGTTTTAAACTTTGTAACGCTCCTCTCTACCCCAAAAGTGGGGGCGGGCAGCTGGCAAAGGTGAGAGGCCCAAATCTTCCTTTATCGAGCTCCTCTACTTCATGGTTTATATTGGGCGGTTTGGAGATCACGGGGTGGTTCCCCACACACCCTCTACAACCAGAAATTCAAATACAAATCACCAATCCAAACCATCTGAGGGAAACAACACCTCATCCACACCTTCCGCGCTCATTGCGAGCAAGCCGTATATGGCTCGGGAGTTCCGAGTTTCCCAGCCGCCGAACCAGCTGGGCCGGGTGAACTTGCTGAAGTGTTCCTTCATATCTTTGAAGACCTCGTTCATGGAGTCTCCAACCTGACATTCCCAGGTTCTTCTCCAACATCACCCCGAAGGAATGCCAACCTGAGAGGGTGCCTTTTGATCCCCCGTTAAAACATCCCTCCCACCTTAATTGGGCCAAAAGGTGATGTTTACATGTCGCCAACCTGACCTGCGTGTGTTTTGGAGGGTATCCTTCGACCGGGCTCATAGCCAACCGCCCGCAACAACATGAAGGGATGCCAGATTCCCTTGCCTTGCTAGCACGGTGGGCCGACAACGACACAACGTGAAACAGGAACTGGAAGCTACAAGGTTCCGAAGGCACTCATGAGGCAGGGTTTGGGAACAAAACGCAGGGCATAGCGACCCCCTATCCCCGAGCAGGGCGTTCAAAGGATGGCAGGCTTGGGCTAACCCTCATTGTTTGGACCACCATCGTTGAGGCTACCTTCTTCGTGTTTCCCGGAAAAGGCAATGAACCAGGGCAACTGGATGTGTGCAGCCAAAACTAGCCTCCAAATGATGGAGGAAAGGGATTTCCCACTCAAAGTCATTCAGAGCTCCCTCAAACTGCTCAATTGAAGAGGCCCAAGGCCCTAGTGAATTTGTTGGACGATCTGAAGCGTTAGACAGGGGACACCGTTTACGAAGGCCTAGTTAGTGCTCTTTTGGTTTTAGTATGCCACTCCAACAGCTTACTTCCTGATTAAATTGACCGAACCGAAGTCCAAACTTGCTTAAACCACCAAACTGGTCTTCCCAGTTTGATCTTGCAGTTCAGAAGCTCGGGGGGTGAGAAAGGGTACGGGTTCCGCAGGCTCCGCACCTCCTTGAGGGCCTCTTCGGTCTTCTTGCCTGGCAGATCTTCCGTGGGTACAGGGCACCCCTTTTTAAGGTTGGTTCTGTGGTGTAAAGGGAAGACAGACGGGGAAACAAAAACGGACGCCGAACCAACGTACTTTACTTCGAAAAATCCCCACCTAGGAGGTTTGACTGGCCAACGTACACTGCAACCGCGTACCAAGAAGCGAATCCGACTGCATGCGGGGCCTCGCGATGGCAAAGAAACTCATCAAACCAAAATGGAACCAAGGCAGCGTTGACCCCTAATTAAGCAGCCTTAGCTGCTACCGAAATCACGTTTCCTGGCGGATTTTCTTCGGGGCACTCCAACTCTCCGAGGAGCCAGGCAAGCTCTTGCAAGGACAAATCGTGTACCTAGCAGCCAAGATCCAAAAACATGAGCTGCTAGCAGATGAAACAATTACTCACTTCCTGAGTCCATGGGGCCAAAGTTCAAACTCTTGTTTGCAACTAAATTGGTCTTCCCGCCCTGGCAATGAAACCACGGTGTGCAATTCTCACCCGCTCATACAAATGCTTGACAAGCTAAGCAACATGTTCACTTCGAGGGATTTGGGACAAGCACTGGCACATGGACCGCAACTGGATAACACAAAGACATGGATCGCGGTTGGGAAACCAAAGCCATGGACCTGAGCGGGACTTGCCAAGCGCATGAAGCGAACTGGGGGAATAGGGGGACCAGCTAATATGCACCATCAGCACTAGTACCACAAGGTATCACCAAAATACCAAGCGGGGGGGGGGGGGTACTCACCAAATTTCCATACTGGGTCTCAATAAACACTGACTGTGGCTCGTAGAAAGGGTGCCAAGAGGTCTGTGCTGCTGCCGGATGTTCTGCACCTCGGCATCGGTGGAATCTCCCGCCTGCCGACTTATGGCCATCTCCGCTGCCAGTGCGGGCACGCATGACCTCCGGCGGATATCTGGGCTAAGCTTCCCGACATCGCAGGCTTCCTGATTATCCCCTAAAATCATCACACCAAAAGGCAACTCATCTACTTCAACCAAAAAGCTGATGTTACAAATCACCGAAAGGGAACACTTCAAGGGTTGCTCCGATGTTCTACCCTTGGATGATGTTTCAAGGGGGGTCTATTTCAGGCAGTCTCCACATTATGCTCGGACGGGAAGTACAAAAAAGTGGTGCTGCCTGCAGAGCGATCCAGTTGATTGAAATCACAAATCAGTTGTAATTTAACACATAGCCCAAGCACGCATTCACGTTCACACACACACGCATTTGCGGGGTGGGGGACTTGTTCGGTGCTTTGGTTCCATCCTCCGGGCAAAACACAAACAAATCGAAGGGTACTCACGAAATACAGGAAACTTCTGTTGAGCCCTCACCATCCTACCAGAAAAGCAAACACACAACAGCTCGTTTTCAGAAGAATTTCCTTTCGGGGGACGGCGGTTTTGGGTTCCGTGTTCGTTTGCAACAGAGGAACCCAGGGGCCGTTTCCCTCACTGGCAAGGAAGTTCTTGGAGCTTTGGCCAAGTCGCTACGCACTCGTCGTTTTAGGATGTGTCGGACGCTGGAGCCAAGAAAATGTGCAAACCACGCAAGCAACACTCATGCGCAAGCGAGCCCGGTGTGAAGCATGGGGAATGGGTCTAGCAATTTGGTTGAGTAAACACCCCATGGACATGGGGTCAGACGGACCGTTGAGCCCTCCCGTGCCTCCCATACTAAGCCCCGAGCAGCCTCAGGAAAAAGAAGGAAGATGGCTAAGCCCTACTGTGACTACACACATGAGCCAAGAGTCGTGTAGCAGCGTTCAGAAGGCTGTGCATAGGAAGACGCTTTCTCAGAGAGGTTTGTGCCAGATTCTACTCGGATAGCCGCTGGTTTCTCGCTTTTGCCGGCTTGGCGGGTCATCTCCTGCGGTTGAAGTCCGACAGGATGTCCTTCACCTCGCGGTTCTTCGTCTCCTTAAGCGGAGTGACGTAACAGTCACCCGAACAGTCGGGCAATCATTCGCAGCGTGCCCGACATCCTTTTTCCGACTATGAAGGAAAAAGACACAAAAGGGAGCATTTGCAAGATTCAAGGGGGTAGTTGAGCAAAGCGCATCCCAAACCTGGCCGGACGAAGATGGAAAATCACAGTGCACTTGCTGTAGGAGGTATTGGCCACTGCATTGTTGGTTCCGTGTCATCTGCCCCAGTCGGCGATGAACATGGCAAATAAGAAGAGGCTGAAAAGATCTGAAACTCAAGAACCAACCAATGCCCAAGAAAAACAAGATACCAGCAAGCCCTTGAAATGCTCTTGCGCTCATGTGTCCCTGAGACGAATCCCAGCCTAAGGCCTCGGCAGGCAGATTCTTCCTCACGTAGAGGTATCCAAGCAGCAACACCTCAAGCACCATCGGCAAGGGCAAAGAAACTGAAAGTCAACAAGGGGATGGAGTGGGATTCTGTCACTGCTCTCTTGGGACAGGAAGTCGACATGAATCCAACCATCCTAAGTTGCCCCGACTCCAACGCCCGAGGTCCAAGCCAAAGGCAAGCTTTTGGACCATCAAATTTCCGTAGATTCGGAAAGATCACTCCTTACGCCATGAACTCTTTGCGGAAAAGACAGGGCAGCCCATGTCCAGGTGTTGAGCATTTGGCCTTGTCGCTATCCTGTCCATAGAGAACCTTTGGAGAAACCCGATGGTTGAGCGCAACAAACGACCCCAAATGAGAACTGACCAAATTCACATTGTCTGAAATGGTGAGGCGCCGGGAACTGAGAAGATCCCACATCTTACAGAATTTTCGCCACGGCACGAACCAACAGCTATTCAACACGAGTGGCCAGCATGCACCACATGCGATATGTCTGAGCAAGGACAGGAGCTGCCAAGTTCACAGTTTTGTCTGTAGGGAAAGACAAATGCATAGCACAGGCTTGCAAAAGACATCGCGGAACAAGAAAACAGCATTCGCCACCGGCCAAGTGCACAGTCGCGGCACCCTGCACAGTGGAGAAAAGCCACTTCAAACGGTGTGGCTGGCAAGTACTGGTTAGGGATTCCGCCCTTAGCGCCTCTTGGTCACGAAACTGCTCATTGGATGGGCTCCCCTTTAACACTTCCCCCAAAAAAAGATACCGCATATGTAGAAACAAAGCCGGGCACATAAAGTTTATTCCCTCGTGCCGTTTCGTGCCTCTCGCCTTTTGTTTCACTGGCAAGCCGCCACCACGCTGGGCAGGAAGGCCAGTCTCGCACCCAAGATCCTCTGAAGGACCTTAGCTTGGCCAGCTTGCTGGTCACCAAACTGTCGACTCAAACGTCCGCATGCCAAAACACCAAAGACTTTGCCAAAAAAACAAAAACATATGATAACAGCAATCGCTACAAGTTCCTTGTAGTCCGAAACTTTCCCCACAAGAACGAGGCGTGTGTTTGAGCGGGGCACTTGGGCGACAAGCACGGGTGCCTGGGGAGCTGGCAGACCACCAATGACTCCGAGAACTGTAACACTCGGAAGTGTCCAAGGAAGCAAAACAGTCATGCAATTGCCGTGCAATTTGCACGAATAATTTTCATGTTTCACCACATGCCGCTCTAGCTCTGAGTTTTGTTCGGTTTGATGCGTGCCCATACTCATCACCGTACCTTTATTTGTTGGCTTGGGGCGGCAGTGGTACTTGCCCGTTTTGCTTGCACGAGCGGGAACACATGTCCAAACCACATTAGGGGCAAGGTGCATCAAACTACCAGGTTGCGCATGGCGCAAGCAGTTGCAAAAAAGCGTGGGGTCCGAGCTAAGTGCTTCTACAAATGACAATTTCATGAAATGAACTGCTTTCAACCCTAAACCTTGGATTCAACCACTTCCCCTGATTTTTCAAGGCTTTGAAAAGAAAACCAAGATGGAAGACCATCGTTTCTGTTTCTTTTTTTTTGAGGGGGGGGACCTGAAAAACAAACACCCATGTCTAAGGTTCACCACCAATCAACGTGGGGTCACGCGCCACTACCCCCCCCCCGCCCCGCAGACCGGCAGCCTCGTCTAAGCCCGCAGCTGGGAAGCCCAGAGCCACGCTGGCGCTGAAGATCTCACAGAGCCTCCGAAAATTCGCCCGAGCTGAGGTTCCCAGAAGCAGTGCCGCCACAAGCCACGGGATCTCACTTGGCTGACCATTCGTGGGCGAAAGCCATGATAACAGGAGCTGAGAGGAAAAAATGCCATGGGGAATGACATCTTTAGTGGGCATGAGAGTCTGTGAACAAAATGTTGAAGAGTGTGTTCCAGTTTTACGGGCCAGTCCAACCAATATTTGGACGGGTGGGCAAATTAATTCTGTATGGTGGTTGGAGAAAAGTTGGAATGACCAGCTGAGCCATCCAACTTGTGGCTTCCTGGGGAATCCCCAGACTAATTCCTGGAAAACCTCAAATTTAAATGATTCCCTGTGAGCCAGCATGCAAACGAAAGCTTCCTCTCCCCAAAGCCTAGAGGGAGCAGATTCGTTGAAATTCCCCCAATGCACAAAACAAATGCCCGTGTTCCTTTGCCCAGAAGCTCCACCATGGGAAAGCCATTCTGTGCAAGGCAACGGGCGCAAAGGAAGCCGAAGCAATATGCACCCTTTCGCTTCGTGGTTTAATTGCCAGCTCGTGAGCTCACGCGCCTCTTATTCAAACCTTGCCCAGCGAACTTCAGCCGGCCGCTTTATCTTTTGGAAGCTGTTGGACAAATGATGGGATATTGCTTGCAATACTTGGAGGGAGTGCATTGCCAACCGTCAGAACCTCCGAACGGTTCTGACGGCACGTTGTTCGTGTGTTCACCCTTCGATGCCACGCAAGTTGTCAGGATGGAAGGTGCTTCTTGTAGGGGCTCAGTGGCTTTCATGCCTTTATTTCTTGAAAGCTCAGGCGTTGACAACGCATTTGGTCAAGGCAACCCCATGCTTGTCAGCTCTAGGAGGGACATGCGGGAGTTTCCAAAGAACCCCATGTGCTTCCAACAAATATGGTACCCCTGGCAATTGGTTCGCACAACAAATCCAGAGGAAACCAACCAAAACATGGCAGTCCCCCGTCAACAACGGTGCAGCCTCTGGGACAATGGGCAAACCACTCCAAAGGCTGCCAAGGCGCGAAGCAATGACACACTGGGCCTGGCGGCTGGACTTGGGACCTTGGATATGGTTCTCCTGTTGCTTTCCCTTGCAACGCCCCCCCCCCAAAAAAAAAAGTCAACCCTCAAAAAACCACAGAGCTTCGGGCGCTTGTTCCACGGGGACTGGCCTTCCTAAAGGCGCGCGGAAAAACATGCTCCCCACTCATACGACCACTTGAACAGGTCGCGGGGGACTCTTTGGGCTGCAAACGGGCTGTTCGATGTGATCAGCTTCTGTTCAGGCCTAAGTCCTGTTGACTGGGAACAAGAAGCACCGAAGGAAGATCAAAGACCCAAGCGCCCTGATCTTGCCGGCCTCTGCTCTGCACCGCAGAGGGAAGATCTCGTTCCTCGGAACACTTCGGAGAGCAAGACCGGATGAAATGGGAATCCAAAAGATCGACCAGCCCGGATTTAGGTAAAAGAAACAGGTGCTCTCTTTGAGGGTCTGGAGGTTCCCCTTAAGAGGTGTGGTTTTGCGGCTAACAGGGATCAATCAAACCCTAAGTGACGGGCCGCTCGGCCCCTGCAAATCAAGCTTGGGCCCTCGACGTTGACACAGGTTGACCTTGCGGGGTTGCCACGGCCAATTGTAGAGAAAGACTTGCGGCGAAACTAAGTAGTTTCTTTTCAAGCCCGTGGACCTAAAATGACCCGAGCAAGCTCAGCGTTTTGCAAAACGCTCAGCTGATTAAACGCTGCCTAGGCGGCGCGATTTGCCAGGGGATGGGCCCCAAGCCTCGGCTTCAGGCACACGGCCGCGCGAATATCACTCAAAAAGCTGAGTTGCCGCATGGAAATCCAACTAAGCCGGAACTACCTGGGAACTTCCCAGGACTCTCATGAAGCAAAGGCCTTTAGCTTTTTGCTGGGCTACTCGAAGGCTCATTGAAACACGCGCGTGAAGATCCAGCTTTTTGCAGGGGGCAAAGGGGCTGCGCCCCTGAAACCAAACCAAACCGGGCCTTTCACCTGGAAACAAGTTTGTGAAAATAACACATTATGTGATACCAAAGTGGTTGACTCCAACTAATTACCTTATCTTTAGGGAAAGCCCCCCACAAGATTACAGTTAAACTGGCGGCCGAAACCCGGACAACAAAACACCCATGGTCTCCAAACCCGGCGGCTGATGGCGAAGGACACCACAAAGGCAATGACAGACATCAAGGTGGCGCCGTTCAGCAAGCCATCGGTGAACCCCAAGCCCCCTGCCTCACAGCGGAGGGGAAGCCAAGGGTGAGGGGTATGTGTGAAAAAGCAGAGGGGAGTTTTTGGATTGAAGTTGAGCCAGCATAAAGTCAATGTGCACCTTCTTGGGGCCATTGTGAGCCCAAGACGACGCCAGTTTTCAGGCCAACGCTTCAGATGTCCTACTGAAGCACCCGTCGCAAAGGACCGGTTCATCCCCACCCCCGAACTGGAAAGAACCTGGGGTTCAGCCCCCTTCCAAGCATTCTCTCTCCGGCAATTTTGAACTGGAAAGATCCCTTCTACGAAGGGCACCTTCATATCCCCTCGAGTTGGCATACTACGACGTTGTAGGGGAACTAACATCCGTCATAAGAAACACATATGCAAAAATCTAGCCCCTTCAGCCCAAAAGGGAGCTTCTGCAAATCCACGGCTTGGGGGTTCATGTCATTCTGCAGCTTCACTGCATCACTGGTTCCATGGCCGGCCGAGCCGCAGCTTTGGCGCAAAGAGATGCGGTGAGAATACTCAAAGCGATGGCTGCGCTCGTCTGCCCCCGCAGCAGCAGCGATCGACGACCCGCCTGGCGGGTCGGATCTTGGTAGGGTGGTACTTGGCGTCAGCCAAACAAAGGGAAGCTGCGCTTTTCAGCGTGTGTAATTTTGGCTGGGAAGGTTGGACATTTGGGACCTTCGATAAGTAATTGCCTGTGTGCACATCAATCCCTTCCAGGAATCGTTTAAAGAAGGCTCCTACACTAGACTCCTTGGGGTCTGATTTATTTATAGAAGCCGGCAGGAAATTTTTCGGGAAAAGGAGAAAAAGAGAGCCAGAGGCGAAGCCTGGCCTTCTCGATGAGCGGCACTGCCACCAGCGTGGCTACCATGAAAATGGCGGAGGACACCAAGGTGCCGGCCAGCGGATTCGGCAGGCCTAACTTGCGGAGCCGGGCTGCTTACCCCCGCTGGCCCTAACCCACTTTTCGAGGGAGGGGATTTTTTTGGGTTCTTTCCATGCCGATTCGTAGGATAGTGTCCAACTACAGCAAGACAACCCATGTCTGGGCAACTTATTGCAGTTCCCAAGCCAGAAAACTGGGATCGCCCCACAAAGGACATTCATCATGGATGAGCTCGTGCCGCAGCTGCGATCGGCTTCATCCCGCCTGCTTCTGTGAAGAAGCTCGTGCTGTAGTACCACACGCCTGAGCCCAGTTGCAACCATTGACCCTGGTAGAAACAAACGCGCTTCCGGCTGACTACTTTTGTGAACCCACCAAACCAACAGGAGCTACTTTCCCGAAACACTTTTGACCAAATCAATTGGCTGGCAAAAACTGAAGCATCTCTGGGCACTTGTAGCCGCAAAATACATTTCCATTCATAGGTGGGGTCACCTTGTGCTGCCGTAGAATGATGGCCCTAAAAGGGCGACTGTCTCATAGCAGGGTCACTTGAAGTTCTGTTTCGGGCTTTTGAAGCAGTTGTTGGGCCAGAGTATAGTTGGCGAGTGATGAGTCAGAACAATAACAAGCCCACAAGCCAAGCCTTCACCCGGAAAGTTTAGCTTTTGACAACAGGGACGCCCCAGCATAGAACCCTCCTTTCAACGGGAATTAGCCACATGTCCCCCCACAAGCTGCCCTTGAAACCATCTAGGGGACCTCTGAATTTCACAGAAACAAACCTGAGGTCACAGGGTTCCACTAGCTGCTCCTAAAATTATTTGAGCCCGGTGTCGTCAAACGGAGAAACCACTGCTGGCTAAAGGTGAAACAAAGGGATCCCCTGTCAAGACCCCTTCAACCCCCAAAGCCATGCAAGGGAATGAAGCTAGTCAAATTGAAACCACTTGGCGGTAATCTAAGCTGGCGCTCGCTCTCGAGGCACCACAAGGAGAACACTTGGTATTGATTCTTTAAATGACCCATTAAGATCATTAAAGCGGGGCTAGTGTTTTGGAGGTACAGGTTTGGGGCTGGTGGGCACCATCTCAAAGGGCATACACTTTCCGGCCGACTGCCGCCGCCTATGGGGAACAACACAGACATTTGTCTTTGTCATCTGGGGGAAACACGCCCCTATGAATCCATAGTACTGATGCATCCGGATTTGGCATTTAAGCAATTGTCTGGCGAGGCGACTGATGTGTCAACTTAGGGAACGCCCCCCTCCCCCCCAAACAAAAAAAGGAACGCAGAGGCCTGGGACTACTCGCCTGTAAGAAAGGAATTCGGTGCTACCCATGCCAAATACAGGGCTAAAGCCGTCAAAAGTAATTCCCCCATATTCCCCCATATTCCCCCATTTCTGCCACCGGCCCCCCCCGCCAAAAACTCACCCAAAAGCAACCCTAGCGGCAAAAACCGGCCTTATTGGTCGCCTTATTGGTCGGGATGAGCCTGCATTGGCGTTGGGAATCTGGGAGACCCTTTCATTTCCTGAGTGGATTGGCCAAACAAAGTCCGAACTTTTGGTATTTATCACTCAGATGATCTTCCCAAACGTGAGCCAAGTCCACGAACTCAGGTGAGTTCCAGGTATTCCGTTCCAATCCCCCGACGTCCATGGCGAAGAGAGCGGCCGTTGATGCCGCAGTACTGCTGCAGCGCCATCAGCGCCACCGCCATGGCCATGGGCCGGCGCAGCTCGGAGGACCCCAAGGCGCCGAAGCCGCCAATTGGCGCTGAGTCGGTGGTCTGGCGCAGGAAAACTGGCTTGCCTCCAATTGGGGTTTGGGGTTTGGATTGGTTTGGAGGTTAGTGATGGTTTTCCATTTAGCCTCCGAAAGAGCCAGGGGTTTAAGCCCCAACCACCAATCCAAACCAACTGAGCACATTTGGGACAGGCGCTGAGCTTTTTGTGACATGCGGAGTTTAGAAGTTTGCAGTTCAACCCTCAAGCTAGGATTCAAATATTGTCTGTGAACATGTGATTAGTCAAGGGCAAGGATGTAAGATATTGTACGGTAGTACCAAACGCTGACCCAGCAATTTGGTCAGGTGAATGGAGGTGAGGAAGCATGCGCGCATTTTATTTTGCGCGGGGAATACGGACGCCAATGCCAAAGAAATGCTTGTGAAACATGTCGGCCTGGATTAGATGGGAAACAAAACGGAAGCTGGCTGTGGTTGTGTAAGCACTCACTACGGTAGTCACTGATGAACCACAACCAAGCCCTTGCAAGTTCACTATGCCAAACAAGGTTTGAAATGGACTTAGAAAGGAAATACGCGCTGCCCATACACGAGGCAATTTGGTTTACACAAGGATCCGTAGAATAGGTGAAAACAACAGTGCAGGCTATCCTTGCTGATGTTGGGCGGGGCCATGAAACATCCAGAACGTTACAACCCTGGACCCCACTCCAGTGCAGAACAAAGTTACTGCGCCGCTGGGCACAACCTTGCTGTCAGAAGGGGTAGTCTAAAGAGTTTCGGTTGTCTGGTGTTTGGTGCACAGGTTTTGCACAAGCTCACAGGAACAACTAGGCATGTTCAAGTACTACAGGTGACAAGTGCCAGGTACATCGGACCTGCTCGATCCCCAGCTTTCTGGATACGCAGGCTCTCTTCGGTGGATGCTCAGAAATATTGCAAGCAAGCCAGCCAAACTCAACCACAAAACCGTGGCAATTTACGGGATAAATTAAGCTGAGCCAAGTCTGATTTCCTCCTGGCAAACAGGCAGTGCTACAGGGCATGTGCGAGCGCCAGAGCCCGAGGGAGGTAGCGATGAAGAATGAGCCTAGTTACAACCAGTGTTGTGAATCAAGATAATGCATGCATCGACCTGGCCAACGCAGTATCATGCTAAGCTTTGCGAGTCCTCGCCTCATTTCTACGTGAGTGCAACCTTTGAGCATCTCATCAAGCAAAGTGGTGCATCCCAGGAACAAGTGCTATATCAAAGCCGCCACAGACTATCAAAACCTTTAAGCTGACAAATCCCTCGGCACTGCAAATGTGGCTCAGAGCTGACTTTTCTCAAAGCTGCTTTGTCCAAAGCATACGTTTTCGAACCTGCTTCACTGATTGCTTCATCAAATTCCATCGTTACATACCTTCACTAGGAAGGCTTTCCAACCGCTATGACATCTCTTCTGCTCGGGTGACTTGCGCTGAGGCGATGCATGATCTGCCATACATTGCCGTTGTATGTGCGCATCATGGGCAGCTTCTGCGTCTTTGCATACGTCTTCATGGCGTCGAGCACTTCTGCTTGCGGAGCCTCATAAATTTGCAGGAGGCCTTCAGCCAGCAGCATCTGGCGCACTGTCCCATCTCTTGGGGCCACACCCCACGATCCTCTGCCTCCAGGACTCTGCAAGAGCACCCGGCGAATATTTTGCAGCGAGTCCTCGTGCGTATCTGTGCTCGCTGGAAGGGCTTCTGCTTTCCGAAGGTTTCTCTTGTTGATGGTGTTGTTGACAAACACCATCAAGGCTTCACCGAGGTCAGCGTTCATGAAGTCGTCTAGGTAGCCCAGTCTAGTCATGACACTCACGGCCAATTGTGGAGAGTCTGGTTCAATGAATGGCCCGCCGCCCGCAAAGACTTGCTTGGCCTTGCGAGTGCCGAAAGTTTCCAAGTCCTTCTTGGAACTGTATGCTGGGCCTAGTGGCAACACAAAGGCTGCCACGTCGTGCTGATACTTTCTCCAGCCCTGTGTGCCACCTGCTGAGCTTCCGCAAAGCGCGTTCAAGCTTCGCACGGCGTGAAATCCAGGAAAAACTACAAGAGGGCCAATGGAGTGCTGATACCAAAATTTCGCAATCGTTGCAACAACAGGCATGTCTTGTTCGACACTGTAGTCGTGAGAGTTCCAAAAATGCCCTTGCCCGAGAAAACTCTTCATTTGTTGCTGACTCAGGGGGGCCTTTCTTCACGAGGCAAACGCGCCCAGCACCATCTGCTTCCAGAATAGCTTGGACTCCTGGTGCAGGTTCCAGTCCTGGCTTCAGAAGCACAACTTTCGCTTTCTCCGCCTCATAGGCCACGCTTGCTTTATTGGCTGACCGCCAACATGGTATGAACATCACAACATCCTTTCCGGATGACTTGAGGTGCCGCACAAGATCCGCATAGCCAGCATCACCTGTCAGAATAGCAAGGCATGTGACCTTCTGCTTCTTTGCAAGCTTCTGAGCAAATAACTTGATGGCCTCAACAGGATCCGTCGTGCCTCCAAGTTGGGCGACAGGTCGGAAATCAACTCCTTCGGACTCGAAGTACTGCTTCCACTTCTTGCTAGTGCTCCGCTGCGTCGGTGCAAATACAGAGACTCGGAGCTTCTGCCCGGCAAAGAATTGCGCAGCCATCCTAATCTGATCTATGCCCTGGCTATCTGCGTCGACCAAAAGGTAAGACAAGCCACGCACAGTTGAAAACGCACGACTTGCTGCAAAAGGTGATGGTGAAGCAACACTGCCTGCATATGCAGGGATGCCGTTTGCGAGAAGCAAGCTGCGGGAGGAAAGTGATTTGACCAAGCGCAGGTCTGTGCACGAGAAGCGCACGATTGAACAGCGGAGGCTGTTCATCTGGGCGCAAAGGACTTCAACCACGGAATTCTCCTATGATATCGGGCTTGAGCCTCGGTCCTTCAGAGTATTGTAGGTTGGGTGGGGGCCGGCACCAGCCAATTCGGGGGTTCTTGGTTTCCATACACAGTGTACTCAGGCTGATTCGGTGCAAGTCCAGTATCCAGCTGTCCTCACCCAGCATTGATCAAAAGATCGGCTGGGAAGCCGAGGGCTCCTGATATGCACCTCATGAATTCAACATCAACCCCCCAGACTAAAACGAGGAACCAACGTTGGACCAACAGCTAATTTTCACGCAACCCAAAACCCCAGGTGGACACGGGAAAACAAGAGCACTCATTTTAATGGTAGTTGTGTATGGTCATTTGTTCACTTTGCAGGGGACACCCTCCAAAAAGAAGGGGAACAAGAAGCAACCCGTCCGCTGGTCTGGGGAAAGGATCCAAGCTGGGCCACCCTGACCTCTTCCGGAACTTCCCGAAGCCATGGCATGAGAAGAAGCCTTGGCAGCTGTCAACGTGCAAAATGTGAGCCCACGGCAGGGACAACTCATGCATTGTCGTCTCAAAATGGTTGCCCAACAGGGCATGGGATAACCAGGAGCAACCAATAAGCAGCTGGATGAACAATGGTCGCTATGCAACGATTTCTCTGCTATCTTCCTCGAAACTGCGCTCCACAAGTCACTGAGTGCAATCAAAATCGAAGGTTAACCTTTTGCGACCTAGACTAAACAAATGCCAACGTGGGAGAGCCAAAAGGTCAAAAGGGGAATCCCCCACCTTGGTACCGTGATTTTAGGACAAGCCAGGTCTTCACGGTTCTCAGCAGGGAACCCTTGTTGTTTGTTGGGGGAACGGCAAACAAAGTTGTGGCTTCCTTTGAAGGGATGATGCGCAGGTGGAAGCCGTGAGCCCGTTTTTCATTTTGGTATTCCTTGTCACCCAATCCCCCCCCAAAAACAAAAAAACAACAAGCCCGTCTTTCCGTTTGGCGTTCCCTTCCCAAATCGAGCGGCTGCAGCGCTCCGAAGAGCGCCGCCAGCGCCAGCGTGCGCGGCCAGGGCAGTGCGGCGCCCGCGAGCTGCGCCACCAAGAGGCCCAAAACGATGGCCACCTCGGAAGAAGAACTAGGAAGCTGGGGAAACAAGTGTTCGTTGGGGTTTGCAGTCGAATCACTCCAGGATTTCTGAACGGTGGTGCGAAATGGAATTGATTCGTCCATGCACAGCTAGGTCCCCCAGCAATTGGTGCCCTTTGTGACCCGTTTCTTTGTTGGTTGGGAGGGTTGCCCTACTAAAATAGACTACAGAAAAGGGGTTCCCTTATTCTAGGCTCTATAGGAAGCAAATACATGTTTGGGATTCTTCCCAGATGGGATTCCCAGAAATCCCAGAGAAGAAATCACCAAGCGGTCCCTGCCACCATCTGGAAGAGAAATCACCGACGGAAGCAGAAACCGATTTTGCGGAGTTTCCGGAAAGGCCGAAGCATTCGAAGCATCCCCACCCCTTAGCCAGGGGGGGAGTGGGGGGGACCAATTCCATGTGTTGGGGATCTCTGGAAGGCCGCAGCAAAAGGGGCAAAGCAAAGGCAAAGGCAAAGGCAAAGCCAAAACCAGCTGACAGAAAAGAAAGAAAACGAAGAAGCAAACAAATGAAGGATCAAAGACGTGAAAGCAATTGGCCATGCGGAAAAAGTGTCAGAACATCAAGCTCCCCTCTTGGCACCTGGAAGCGCCTGGACTCCTGGACCCTGGTCTGGACTTCGCGTTAGGAAGACTCTTCACGGGGTGCTTCCCACCTCCACAGCTGGTTGCTAAACAGCCGATCTGGAAAATAGCTAGCTTCGGCCATTCGGTTTCACGCGGCCTCATGCCCCCTCCCAAAACGGTTCCCTTGTGAGTGCCATCCCCATAGACAACGAAAGACCAACTGATTGATCAAATCAGTGCGGGATGGTCCGAATGAAACCAGGGATCACTCCACAGGGCTTGCAAGCAATGCTGTCTTCCTCTAAGGCATGCAAGTGCAAAATACTTACATGTATGGCTGCTTTTTAAACCTGACAATTCAGGGATCCCCAAGTAAATAGGACCTAAATCAAAGACGACGGCGGCTGTCCCAACTATTGAAAGTAAACCAACCACACAAAACCATCGCAAATTACAGAAAAAAGCTGTGAGTGCCCTCATTCCCCCTACTTGCCACATTTCAGGCATCTACCCGGAGTTCTCGGTTTTTCTTTTTCATGGACTCGGCTGCACCAGGCCTGGTGCAGGTTGCCGATGGCGCCGCGGAGCTGCAGCGGCGCGATGCGGCCCAGGTAGAGCGGCACGAAGACCGTGGCGGCCCCGGCGCCCAGCCCCGCCATGACGCGCCCCGAGGCGAAGAGGGCTGTGGCCAAGGAGAGCTGCGACTGGGCGGCGGCCTGCGCGCCGGAAAACCCGAAAAAGCTGCGGAGCTGAGGGGATGGCTTTGACGCAAGGGAGAGCCAACAAAATGGGCGGGGGGGAGGGGGGGGGAGTTTCCTTGAGCCACCAAAATGGGTGGTGTCCGTTTGTTGGGTTCCCTTGAAAAGCACAAGAAAGGAATGCTCAAAAATGACACGCCCGTAGAACCTTTTTTGGGGAGAGGGGCATGGACATCAGGAAGCCTTTTGAAGGCTCATGTCACCAGGGGGAATGTAAACGGGGTAAATACAAAGACACCCCAAAGTGGAGCAGAACGCGGCGTTGAGCCCTCCCTGCATTGGTCACCTTGATGCCTTTTTATTCACAAAATAATTTGGGGGAGATCATTGCTCCTTGAAACGTGGGCATGATCCCTGAAATCATGGTGATACTAAGGATGACAAAGACTTGCACCATCTGGGCTTCATCAGATGAAGCCCCGTGGAAAAATCTGGGGCTAAGCTTTGTTCCAACCTGTATGGAAGTGGACAGGAAAGTTCTTGAAAGGGCCCCTTGTCTACTTTGATTCACATTGATCCCTTGTCCCCACAAATCGTGCATAGACAGGGGTCTCTTTGCCAGGCGTACATGCAATCTACCTAGGGGTTGGGGGTCCTTTAGAAGAGCAATGCCCAAGCTGTCTGAACTTCTGTTTCCACCAAGATGGCCATAAAGGACCCCGAGGACCTTATAATTCCAAGATATTCCAAGCAAGGCGTGTTTTGGGTGCTGCCCACGGTAAACCCAACCCTCCCACCAGGGCAGGCTACTCGGGATTCCTGAAGGGAAAGGCACTGTAAGAGAAATCATTTCGCTGAGGCCTTGCGAATGGCCTATTCCCAAAATAAGAACCTGCATCGCAGGCAAGCTCAGGTTCGTATTTTCTATTCAACGTGAGTTTGGCACAGACTGCCCGGCCGTTGTCGCAGCCTCTGTTAAGGCACTAAGGCATTCGCAAGGTCCGATACTTGGGTTGCGCCCTCTGATCACTTACAGCAGGCGATTGACATTTGGACCAACCACCTCCGCGGCCTCCTCAACTTGGATAACTTCCCCTCCGACCAGACATGGAACCTCACTGGCAGCCCCTTGCATCCAGTCAAAAAGGGCTTTCTGGTTGGTTCCATATTAGTCGGCGGGCGAAATGCGGAGCTCCTCGCCCGTTCCCCCCTTCGAAAAACCTCCAGAACATGAATGCGTCAATGTGAGAACCCATGGCCATGCTGGGCCCCTTGGTGGGGCTGTACTTAGTAGTTAACCATGAGACATACATGGGTGGGGGGTTCGCATATATGGGTGTCTTTTTGATTTGTTTGGCGTTCCCAAGCTAGAAACTCGGGCGCCCTGCCTGGGCGGCGAAGGGAAACAAAGCCCCAGAAATGAGGAAGAAGATGGATGTGCCGCACCTTAGCCACACGGTGTGTCAAAATATGGGGCCCAAAATCGGTGGCTTGCTTTTGGCCAAGGAGTCACACACGTGTGATTCAAGCCGAAAAACACAGTTCACAAACTAAGTATTGTTCCTCCTTGCCCTACCCGGTGACTGGTGGCCGCGTTTACGCTCAAAGAGTCGAAACTCACTTCCTGAATGCATTTGCCACAAAAAAACAAACTGTTTGTTTACCACCAGAATGGTCCAAGCCCAAAAAGTACCCAAAGTCGAGGAAGTCAGCTTGATTTCCCCCACGGCCGCAAGGCAAACCCAACGCCCCAAGGGTCTTCCCCCCGTCGTTCCAAAGGCGCAGCGCCGTGACGAGGCCTAGGCGTCGCACGGCAGAAGGGGCCAGCCAGGCGCCCAGCAGGCCTGAGGGGCTCAGCACCGCCACCAGGCTGGACCACCTCGGGCGGTCCACACTCGCCCCCCCCATTTTGGTGGGCGGAAGGGACAGGGACATACAGGGACTCGGGGGGCTTTCGGGGAAAAAGGGGGGTATCCCTGCATAAGCCTAGGATAAGCCAAGCATAAGCCAGGATAAGCCCAGGATAAGCCCTTGTGAAGGCCTCATTGGGAAGCTAATCGGGTAGGTGACAGGGAAGCCTAATGGAGGCTCAAGAGGTGAACCATTGTTGCATGCGGATACTTTGAACTCAGCGTATCAATGAATTTCCTTAGCGCGGCCCAGAACCACAATTCCATACTCACGATGGCAGGCGAGTGGCTAGAGACTTTGGTCACAAGCGACTTAGGGCACTTGCCAGGCAAGTGCGGCATAACCAGGGAGTAACTAACCTCTTGCAACTATTCAGAGTTCAGGGGTGGCCTCTGTGTTGGTTGTGAAGGTGTCGTTTCTGGCAGGTCAAAACACAAGAAGTTGTTCAATTGATTTTGTTCCAACTTTTCATCAAGACACGTCAAGGCGTCAAACCTGCGAATCCTTCCAAAGGCTGGTTCCAACCATGGATCCTCGCCAATGCAGTGGGATGCTTCCCATATTCCCGAGCAAGCAACAATCAAAAGGGCTTGGCCAAGTTCCCCACAAGGCGGGGGGGAACGCCTTTGACAAGGGAAGATTCTGGCGGAAAACTCCTTGGAGTTGTTTCCCGGGCAAAGGGGCGCATTCGCTTTAACTAGATCGATTCAAAGGACATTTTCTGAATCCATGCTAACTCCACTTCAAACATGCGACGATGCCATGCGGGGTTTGCGCGCTTTCAAATGGGGTGGCAAAGGCAAACCAAAAATAATCCTACAGTAGTCTACTCCAGCAAACGGAGTGGATGCGTTCTCTGTGGATTCCCCATGTTGTCTTGCCAGTTGTTTCTCACTTTTAATACTCTTTTTTCGTACTCTTTTGCTATCCTGCACGGGTGGATCCACAAAAACCACCTCCAAACCATTTCCTTGAGTAGTTCTGAGGCCCCCTTTGGCCCACCCCCTTTGCTTCATAGCCACGTGAGCGAGGTCTGCGCCAGGCCCAGGGAACGGCAAACGGCCGCCTGGGGCACGTTGATGACGCTGAGGCCGAAGCCGTATTGGAAGCTCCCGGGGATTGCCGCCAGGCACGCCATCCTTGGCCACAGCTTCCCAGTGGTTGGATTGGATGGTCAACCCGAGTTACCCTCGAAAAGCCAGGGGTTCAAATCCCCAAACACAAAGCCAAACCACCAACTAAGTGTGTAAGGATTATCTGAACATCTGTGGTGCACAGACAAGTAGAACAGTTATGTCCTGATTATGTTCCAGATTTAGCCTACCCTAAAACATAAAATAGTTTCGGAGGAGACATGCCAACGGAAATGCAAGGTGACCATCTGACTCAGCAGTCTGACCAACACGGTAGATCTGCCCTCAAACAGTCAGCACTCCTACTGACTGAACATGACAGTTTGTTTCCTAAGTTTCCATCAAATGGAACGCACCCCGGAAACCCAAAGCACAGCTTCTGTTTAAACAAGAAAACGTTGCTTTTGCCTAAGCATCCACAGGCCTTTGTCCACCTTGACCTCTTCCGTCGGCTTCGAACCGCGGACAGTTCGCCGAATCCGAGGGAGCGGGTTCGCCCGTGCGAAGCAAAAGGCACAGAGCCCGAGGACCCGCGAAGCGCGCGGACGCCGCGGGTTCGGCTCGGAGTGACCTGGGCAGCCCACTTGGGCCTGGAAGTCGAGGCTTAAAGGCTTTACGGCTATACCCCTGTACAATGTTCGTTTGACATTAAAACCTTCCTTTTTAGCCGTTCAAACACTCGGTTTTCTGTTGTTTGCTTTATTCTTTAGGACCTTGACAGAACATGAAGTGGAAACCCACGGTCAAAACCACATGACGGTTTCCCAGCGAGAAAGCCGTGCCAACTCACACTAACGAGGCACTCGGCGCAGGGGCAGCGGCGGCACCATGGCGAAAAGGCGACTTTGGGGCCACCGGGGCCCGGACCCTTTCGCTGAACCTGATCATCGCTGCAATACACCGAGAATGATGGATGATAAACCTTTACAGGGGCTCCTAAGACTTGAAGTGCCCCGCCCCCTTCCGCTCTTCCGAAATCATCTGATTGTTCCTGGGGTCGGTGCATGTGCCGCAAACCTAGCGAGAAACGCAGACTTGCGCAAGTCAAAGAAACTCTACGCGTCCTCGGAAAGAGCATTCAGAATCTTGTCTGACAAGTCGAAAACGGGATGCAGCGCGCATCTCTCCCTCTCTCCGTGTCTTTTTAAACATTGCTCGGCGGCGCTCCGCTCCTTACAGGCACACAGCTGTCCAATGCATTGAAGCAATTCTGCCAAATCGCTCGCAAGGGTGGGAATCAAGAATCCAAAGCCTGAAACTAGCGATTGAAGAGGGGCCTAATCTTGCCACTTCCATGCCAGCGACTAAACCCTCCACACTCCATGGATTCTTAGATGCGCACTTTAAACATCACCTCGCCAAAGAGTAGCTCACTTTTAACTGGCCCAACATCTAACCCCGCATGCTAATATAAATCCCCAAAGCCGCAAAACGACGCAACACATATTATGCCACAAGGCCACAAGGTTACAGTATATTTAAACACCCCAAGGGATACTGTTTTCTGTTCCATAAACCGACGGCAAACATGCGTCCCTCTCAAATACATCTGTGCAAATCAGGAAAAAACAATCCAGAAGAACATGGAAATCCCCACTTGGGGGACCTTCCTCCTGGGTGAGGTGTGATACCAAATGGCAACCTAAAACCAATTTTCCCACAACAAATCGCTGGTTTTACCCCCGAATCGGAAGGGATTTGTAGATTTGTAGGCTCATCCCCGAAAAATCCTCTTCACCTAATGTTGACTTCTGAATAATCCGGAGGACCGTACCAATCAGAGGTGGACACCCTATACTGGGTTCATCCATTTTGGGCCAGGGTGGCATTACTAACATTACTAAGAAGCAGCAAGACAAGGACGGAATCTCTGGCTTTGGATGCGCCAAGAATCTCTCGGAGCTTGCGCTCTTTCTCTTCTCGCACCACCTGCGCTGCCAGCGCGCGCGCTTTTGCAGTGTGCAGCTGACGGCAAAGTGCTTTCAGCGGATGTGTTCCAAACCTGAGCATATGCTGGTTTGCCCCGTAACATGTTGCAAGCAAACCCCTACCGGGCCACACACCATAGTAAATTACGGTGAAATTGGAAAGTTTCTCTGCTCCCATACTTAAAACTTTTATCGCATCGACCGTAGCACTCGAGTTCCACACAGAATAGGATTGGACATCGAGCTGCGGCTTCCACTGTTTGCCGAATGCCCAGTTCTGAGTCACAACACACGTCTGGTCATACTTTGGCCTTTTACATGCTTGACTCGAAGTAGTCAGCAAGAAGACTGAGACTGCTTCCCAAGCAGACACGCAATGTAACATGTTCAGGAGGGCTTCCCAACTTCAGCAGGGAAACATTCGGCGGTGCGGCTTATGGGGGTCAGAAAGGTCGCGGCACCTGATCTGCCGAGCCTGCACAGGGTCCTTGGTGAAGACATCCAGGACCTCGGTTTCCGCCAAACACCCAGGTGGGTGCCGATCTGGTGCCAGTAGACCAACCACACCCAACCAGGAACCCATGGTAAAGTACGGTAATGATTGTCAAACCCGCTTGGAAATTGGCTTTGATGTAGAGGCTTGCACTACCGTGGATGGACTCAAAATCCGTGTCCACCAGAGTGGCTTCTCAACCAGTATCAAATCAGGCTTCCATCACTGGTGCGAATCGCCGTGGAGTTTGTCCAGAGGCAGGTGTGCGGTGTCTGTGTTGGGGTGTGCTTTCGGGACAAACCTGGAGAATACCAGCCAGATTTCTTGCCACATCCCCTCCTCCATTTTTTTGAGAAAACCCCCCATGATGGTTTAAGGGGGGCCAAAAGGCAACTGACAATCTTTCATTACCCTTTTAGGAAATCACACATGTCAAATGCTTTGTGGGAGAGACCAAAGCTGCCTGCTGCATTGGCGTCTCGCGTTCCAAGCCTTCAAAAGCTATGGGGGGCAAGGGTCACGCCGGATTTGGTGTGTTTTAGCAATTGATTTTACTGAAAAAACAACCTTCACAAAACATGACAAAGTGCGGTGCGGTTGGGGTCACGCAGGTATGTGGCCAAACTGCTGCCTCACAACGAGGTCTGAGGGCCCCTGCCGTTTCAGCTGTCGAGCGCTTGCCTGACATGTGGGAATTGCAGGCGCTTCTGCGATACTCGGAAAACCGGCCTTGGTCACTTTAAGGGAGTTTAAGGACAGAAGTGGGAACCAACGCCTCCACCAAAAAGAACTCTGCCAGCTCAAAACTCTATGAGTGACAAATTCCGCCCTTCCCGACCGCCAGGTCTTACCCATTGCCTGCCTGCACAGAAATACAGATGATCAAGAGGCGTGTAGATTTTACAGCACCCCTTCTCATTGTGTAGGCCGTTGGAAATTGATTCAACAACCGTTGACCATTCCCACAGCTCTACAAGACCTTGCTTTTGCAAAACCATGCTTTTGCAGGAGCCTTCCGATCGGACACATCTATGCTTCTCGCCGCGCCACCGTTCGCAAAGCAGAAAACGCGTTTGCGTCCACAGAATCAGGTGGCAAGGCTTCAAACAGTCAGAATGCGAGTTACCCAAACTGAGGGATCCCTAATCCTAGTCCGTCCGTAGAGGGATGGCATTACAGCGGGGAAAGCACCAACCAGCTGGCGATAGACCAAAAATAGCAAAGTTGCAAGGGCTCACCATGTGCCACCTTGCCTATGCCCTTGCTCTTGTCCTCAGGGTCCAGCTCACCCGTGACAACCTCACAGAGTGCGAGGTTGGGTCACTTGACTGGACCCTTGGATTCGGTAACGAGGCCATGTTACATACAACTTGATGGTGGCTCCGGGCCCTTCCTAAATAGTAGATTGATTTCTATATATACTAGTCTTGTTTTTGTTTACACTAATTTGCTCTCTCTCTCTCTCTCTCTCTCTCTCGCTCTCTCTCTCTCTCTCTCTCTCTCTGTCTCTCTCTCTCTCTTTTTCTCTCTCTCTCGCTCTCTCTTCGCTCTGTCAATATATGCATATATATATATATATTCATACATATGGTTATGTATATCTCTCTCTCTCATCAATCACATCGCTACTTCCAAGGCTACACATGCATCCAGGCATTGGGTCCGATCCCCGTTCAAAACTCTAAGAAGCCAAAAAGCCCGAACAAGCTTCCTTGGCTTCCGGCACCAAAGGTCACACGGAGACCTGACGATCCATCGGTGATGCAGCCGGCTGGTAGAGCATCTGGACACGGATACGTGGAGTTCGTCTTGCCAAATCTGCCTTGGGGTATTGGGTGGCTCTGCGTGCCAGAAGGTGCCCAGGTCCTATCCAGGTCCTATCCATCCAACAAAAGCCCATGAGCTGCCGGGCTGGTGCCCGGCTTCCCCAATTTGCTCAGTTCTTCCTTGATCTTTGGTAAACCGGGCCGTGGCAGAAGCCAGCCAACCGCAGCCAACAGGACGACTCCAGGCGGGGATGGTTCGTTCACACGAGCTCCGCGCCCAGCAGCGAAATGCCCAGCGCGGTGAAGCCGAAGATGCCCGCCGCCAAGGAGCTCAAGCCTCAAGTGGAGAATGGCCGTGACCGGCCGTGACCCCCGGTTCTTTGTGGAGCCCTTTTCGGTTCACTGTGTTCGCTTTTTTTGCGGCAAAGGGTTTGATGAACCAGTTCACAGCTTTATGCAGCAAAAGGTTTAATCCTTTTTCGGCCTCCTTTGGTTTAGGGGAACCCTTTTTGGCTCACCCGCTTGGGTTTGACCCTGCAACTTGCTCTTCACCTTCGTCCTGTACAGCACCGCGTCCAGATGTTTGGGGTTTGGACAACGCGCTGGATCTCCAGGAAACAAAGTGCACTTTGGTGCTTCTATGTTGGTAGACAACCAGAGCCATGTCGGGTGACAGGGTGCCCTTTGCAAAGGTCCCTTTACCCATTTGAAACAAACAGGCAAACAAAATGGGCGGGGCATGGATTGAAAGGTCACCATCTGCGAAAAATACCACAAGGGCACTCTTGCAACCAACCGATCCGGGTCAGTCATTGTGGACTCCTAGGTGGGAACTCAACTCCGTAAGTGACCCTTCCGCCCTTGGAATTTCAGAGGGCTGGGTTGCCAAACAAAATGCAACTCCTCAACGGCTACACGAGGAAAGAAGTGGATAAAGGCTTGTATTTGATGACACTTTCTTGGAGCTTCACAGCCTGAGCCAAATGTGATTGCAAGCATTCAGACCTTCAGCTGCCCAAGGTGGTAGGAGCAACTTCAGCCGATTGCCTCTTGGGGCTATGATGAAGCAGCCACAGAGTTGGAACCAGAATAGGGCTGTGTTGTCTCAGGCTGAAACGGCTCAACAAGTCCTGAGTCAGGTGAATATTGTCGAACCTCCGCCTTGACAAAGGGGCAAAAGAACAAAGCAACCGAACCGACCAGCGACAAAAAACACACCCACGGCTGATCCACACAAATCCTATTTTGGCCTTCACTACGAAGGATGCCGCAAATACTGCAAGTAAGAGGGGAGTCTCCGCGCCCCCAATTTGCTGCACTTGCAATGGTTGTGTGGGTGGGCATGGTCGGTCATCTTGACAACAAAATGCAGGGAATCCGCACACCCGAAACAGGGGATGTGCCCCAGCGGCTCTGAACCTAGTTTTGATGGCACCTGGGAGCCCACCAAATGGGGCCTTTCCCAATGTAGACAAACCCATGTCTTTCCCTCCCCGAATCTTGCTTCCGAAGTGGGTTGCCTAGACATCCTGAACCTCTAAAATCGTCCTCTGGGACGTCTAGAGTCCAGTGAAAACTGGGTTCTCGAAATGTTGCCTTCCTTCAAGTGCAGGGCAGAAATCGCACTGAGGCTGGCGCCCACGATGGCAGCCTGAAAGACCAACCTAAGGCGGTGCTTTTTGTCCAGGGGTTTTGTTGAAGAGTT